GTGCGGCAGACAATCGGCTGAGTATGATGGCAGCGAGAAGTTTTTTTTTGGAGTTAACTAAACTCCTGGGCTCAGTGTGGGAGAGGGAATAGGTTCCAACGGAATGGTGTAAATCGGTGATCATACCTTTTTATAGGAAAGATGGCAGGTCCTCTTGTGAAAACCACAAAGTAATTGGTTTGATCGTCTCTAAAGTCCCCGCTGCTAATGTTCTTCGTCAATTGTCTGCCGCACGTGAGAATCAGGCTGGTTTTAGACCTGGTCGAGGTTGTATCGATCATATCTTCACTCTTCGTCAAATTCTAGAACACAAACACTCCTTTTGTAGACCCACCATTTCCATCTTCCTCGACCTAAAAGCAGCTTTCGACTCAGTTGACCGCTCCAAACTCTGGTGCTGCCTCTCTCTGAAGAAGTTTATTTCAATCTTCCAATCCTAATCTTCCCAATCCGAGCTTAGGACATTTTTTCACCCGAGTTCACCACGGAAAGTGGTGTTCGACAGGGTTGGCATTTGCCAACTTTCGGTATCTGTGGCACCGTCGCGACTTTCGGCTGTCTGTGAAGGGTCGAGTATATGCTGCAACAGTTCGGCCAGTTCTGCTTTGCAATGCAAAAACTAGGCCACTACGGGAATAGGATAAAAATAGATTGTCGGTGTTCGAACACCGCTGTCTACGTCGCATTGCACGAGTCTGGTGGGGCAACCGGACGAGCAATGCTGAGGTTAGACGTAGAGTTTTGGATAGTCGCGGTCGCCTACTGGAGCAACTATTCGACCTCCATAGATTACATTGGTTGGGGCATGTGGGTTAGAGGGTATGAAATCCCTAACCAGAATAATGGGTCACATNTAGGTCCCGTTAGGCTCCCCGGTTGGGGACCCCGAGATGATGGTCACCGATGGTTAGAGATACAGTGATATGCTTGGGTGTCATAAACAGTGGCCCTCATGCATGTACTCATTCTCTTAACACCTTATCTTCTGCTTGAATTTGCTTTCAACAATCCAATCTTCATCCTGTTGTTTTATCCAAATGGGCAAGCAAAAGACATCAACCAAAACCGGCGCACGAAAGTGCATGCCAAATAATTGTAAAAACTGAAACAGAAACGTGAAAACAACCTTATTCTCCCCAACCGTTTTTCATGAAATTCGATACAATTTTGATGGATCAGTGTAGTACACCTTTCTTGGCCTTTGTGGAGTTCTTTTATATGTATGTTTTTTCTAGTTCGTTGTGTGAGAGGGACGGTCGCATTCGATTGAATCAAGGTGGTTTTCGCCCTGGTGAGGAATCTTCGGAATTAGCACACAATCTGCGTTGAATCGGAGCTTTTCGGACCTTCAATTGTGCTTACCGAAAACTAGCTGGGGTTTCTGGGGCTATTAGAACTAAAGCAGATATTTTGGAACTTCTCGAGCTAACAATTATTCAAATTGATTTACCAATGTAAAGTTAGTTTATCCGAGATACTTTTATTAATAATGGATAATTTCTTTTCCCCTCCTCACCAGGAGACTAACATATCTGGAGGATATATTTATGTTCCTCGTCTACATTCTGGGTCTGTTACCTGCACAATATCCAGTCTCGAATATAATTTGGCGGTCCATGACTGTAAGTAATCGGCGTACGCAAATGCCAAGTTTTCAGCTATCGTCACAGTTCCGTCATCTTGTTTTCTGTTTTATGAGTTAATGGCACTATATCGATCGAATTTCGTTTACGGGAGACTGATTAGCTATGGTAGCACTTTTAGTCATTCATCCTTTATCTGAGTGTTGCGCTTCTTTTCGTTGCCAAAATATGGTTGTGTGTTCGACTTGGTTACCGGTATGGTTGACAGTACTGGTCACTTTTGTCATTAGACACGATTTTGTGCAAACCCATCTACAAGTGGCTGTCTTCGCTTATCCAAGTACCAACTACCATAACTACTAGCAGTGTGTTTAAATATAAAGCTTTCGCTATCGCATGTTGTAGATGCATTACGAGTTTCACTCGGTGCTTTCGTACATGAATTAGTTCACCGATATTTTATCTTTATACCGCATTTACGTCCGTTATATAAGTAATCCACGTCACCATGCTGTTTCGCCCGTAACCGTTCGTGCCGATTTAAACTGAACTCATTAGTTTTTTACTGATACATTTGTTTTGCGTCCTCTGAGTTGACTTTCAGAACGGTTTCTGGCTATATTTTCCGAAGTGACATTAATCTATCTAACACAGCGACACATGAAGCGGATATTTGGTTCGTACATGGTCATCGGCACGTTATCAGCCTACACAGAATTCTCCTTCAGACATAAGCGCCATATTCATTTGATACCATTTTCTTCAAGGATTGGATCGAACATTGTTCTCTCTCTCTCTACAATAGGATCTGATGAAATCTGGTCAACGAGGTCTAGATCGAATTGGGTGTGGCAGTGGTAAGTCAACCCTGCCTACCGATGCACTGGTTATACGGATCATCTGTGCACTTTTTTGTTTAAAACGTTTTGTTCTGTTACACAAGTGGTAGAGAATTCATTGTGATATCACACGAGAACCGAATGGACGGTTAGTCAAATTAAAGGTCTAATAATGGTGTGCAGGCAAAGTGTGATAACCAAGTGCAATCTCACTTATGTTTCGCATCGTTGCCCACTTTAATCGCTTAGAAACGTGTCATTTTCGCATAAAACTTGCGTCTTATTGTAAGCTGAGGAATTTCCTTGAACAAAGATCGGTATAATTGAGGAGGCAAGTACTGGAACTAAGTGAAGTTCACAGTAGTTGTAGCATTCACATTGTTGTAGCACGAAAATAATATTTATATATTTGAAATTAAAAAGAACCGCATGCAGCTTTCACCAGGTTGGCCAGACTGGTTAAGATGTTTTTTGGATTGGGTCTTTGTAGCTATTCTAAATACCCTCCTTTCTATGCAGTACACAGTATGTGTTGGTGTGTTCATTCAGTAGTTATTTTCTAGTCAACGTTAAATACAGTCTCTTCTAAAAAACTTGCAAAGCATGCATGGCCCAAAACGGGCAAACTGCGTAAACGGCACGAAGTTAATCTTCCGGTTCGATTGTAATGTGCCTACTGAATATGATTTCAGTAGATGAAGTGCAAATTCGACGATGATGATGTTTTTGCAAATTTTATACTATGTGCAAAACGAATCGCGTACTGTGTTAACTTAAGTAGTGTATTAAAATCTTTCGGAGGTACAGCAGACGTCTAAATTGTAAGCTGCGACCTAACACAGTGTGCGAATATTGAATATAGCTAAGTTAAGAGGATCGTGGCGGAACTATTTTCCCACCAAGGTGAGAAGATAAAAGGCCAATATCTGGGGATATGACCGGGTCGGTGAATCACCGGCAGTTCACCTAAGGAAGTTTGCTAAAAACCCTGATTTCAAAACAACCAAGGAGAGATGTGCGAAGCACACCCACCCATACCTTCTTGGTTGTGATAGTCGATACTGGTTCGATTGGGCATTGAAATGTATTGATTACTTTGGACGTATGACCTCGTTCAGATGGTCTATGATCCTAGAAGTGGACACTGGTCCCCAACGGCTTGTGGTTTTCACGCACAGCCCCGCTGCCTATCGGGTCAGGCTCTGGTTAGCCAAAGATTCCAATTGTGAATTACCTAAGAAAAGTCACCTGCTTTGGCCTAGGCGGCCTAGCAGTATCGCGTCCACGAGCAAATAATGGAACGTTTTTCTGTTTATAAAGATTATCGTAACGTGATCTATTTGACTCAGTCGTGTGTGTGTGTGTGTGTATGTGAAAACATCACATAACCTAAGTTAGGGGGAAGGAGATTGAGAAAAAAAATAAACAGGTGTGAAATGGCTTTTTCCTGATAGCAACGTGTGGTATTGCTCTTATTAGGGCCTCTCAGGGTAGATGTTTTTTCACTGGATTATTTGCCTACCAATACGATAAGATCGTAATTTACATTGAATGGTACATATACGTCGGGTCAAATTCCACGAATATTACTGCAACGGTTCTCACTTCGATAAGATCTAAAACATTGCTAATAGGTGGGGTTCCAACTTTTCCTGTGATATTGTTGCTGTAGGTTGCTGTTTTTGATCGTTATTCCCCTCAATTTTCGTCCTCTTTTTACATTTTCTGTTGTCATTTATTATCTCGTTCTGTCCTGCAGGTCCCCTTATACCAACTTACATGTCTGTGGATAAGTTGATTCACAATCTAAAGGATCTTCTCGAGGAAAGAAGAAAACTTCCCTCTTACAAGTAAGCGAATAATTTGCCGGTTAACTTACTGCAGCGATATAGTATCTACTAACACTCAAAGGGAACAGAGTTCAGAATAAAAAAGTAGCTTTAACAACAAATTCCAATCAGTATTGAGTGGTACCAATTATTCAGATTATAATTTCTTACAAAGCCCGAATTGTCCATGAGAATTCACAGACTCCAGAATTTGATTATTGTTATATTGTATGGGAAGCTCCGTTGCAGTTTGTTGATTTTTTTTACATATGATTTTAAGGGCTATAAAGTTTTGTTTTTGATTATCATCAGAGAGCCTCAGACAGCTGTTTCGTCCCGGTTGAACCTCGAAGGCTTTCAGTTCGAGACACAATATCCACTACTTAGGAGTCCCGAATCGGAGGGCACAACTGTTTAGTGCTCTTTGTTGTTCACCAAAAATAATACAGCGTTGATCTTTACTTTGTCCTTTTTTTCGCCAGTGTTTCTGTCATCCTCAACTGACCATTTTCTTTCATCGTTTTCTTCTTTTGAATCACAAACTCAGTTGCCTGTGGACATCCCAACCGCGTTATCGATCTCCGCTGGTTCAATTGGTCAGCGATTTACGAACTGCGTCACTTCAACCGGCCGAAGCTAGTCCAGCTTTGAAAGGATTGAAGCATCACACGTCGTCCTCCGGATCCGCGAAATGGCTAACCGGTTTGAGGTGCCATTACTGACGTATTTTTCTGATATTTTTGTCACGCACTGTGTTCCTTCAGTTCATCAATTTCCTTGTGTGATTTAGCAATTTTTTCACTAATTAACGTCATCTATGGGGAATGGCGGCCACGTTGGTTTCACCATCCTTTCGGACGAATTGTTTATCGCAATACTGGTCGGTCTTTCGACCCTCTCCTGTGTTTTTGTCCGAGCATTTCACTCTCAGCGACAAATGTCCCAATAATCATTTCTACAGTAGTGAACCTAATTCCAAAGTAGCTTTTTTCGTTTCGGCGAGTTTATTGA